ATTACATCCAAGTCTTCTTGATCGGGTTTCAGCTTTAAAAAACCTGGGAGGCTATTTTCCCCGATTCATAGCTAGCCATGAATGGAATATAGCACGAGTACATACACTCAGTATTGTGTAACACATTTCCCAGGTACAGAGTGCTGGCCGAGAAATTACTATCTTATTCCTATATTACTGATGCCCGAGGGAAATAACTATCTTATTCCTATATTACTGATGCCCGAGGGGGTATTACTGATGCCCGAGGGGTGGGTTAATGAGGGGCTCTGCCCCTTAACATCCCCCAGTCAACATTGTCTTCACCTCGGTCTGTATAGTAGGACCAAGTGTGCTGTTAGCAGTGCTTTCCATATTTTCCTTTATTTGTGGCATTGCTGTTTGTATTTCTTGATTATTATTTGTACCATTACAACTTTTGTCCTCTGACATTATTATCTTCAAATTGCCCTAGCCTAGTACATCCATAAAAAATACTGGGTTAATCTCTGGAAGCACCAAGTTAGGGTAAATTGAATATGAAAATCTTGTATAGAAGAAAAAGTTGCAGTAGTCAGTACAAGAAATAATCTGCAAACACAAACGGTAACACCACAAATAAAGAAAAAATATCACAGAAAGAGCCACTCTCAGTCCAAGTCCACTTAGCGCTCCTAGGTTTCAGCTCTATTTTGTTGTGCAGACCGTGGTGAAGACAATGTTTAGCGAGGGATGCTAGGTGGTGGAGCCCTCCATCAACCCTCCCCTTAGGCAGTGCCCAAAAGGCATGCCCAGTCACGGTAACTTAGACTGGTGAATAAATTTTTTGATGTGGAGTTGGGAACAGTCTCTGGTGAGTATGTCTAGACTGTAAAGAATTATCAAATACTGTTTAGTGATTAGAAACCAACCATGTATCATACAATTACTAGTAAATTTAGTGGCTGACATTCTAGGTTGTAGTAAAAAAAAAAGTATATAGAACGATTACCTTGGCGTAAACTAACACAACAAGTCCCTTGCTTTGTTTAGATCATGAATGTTTACAATACTATGACTGCTTAACTCATTTCTGAGATATTTAAACTAGTTCATGTATTACTATGCGCTTGTGAAGAAACTTTTGTAAATTTAAACACCTTAATTTTTCTCATTCTTGTATCTTGTGCATTCCTTTATTTTCTATATAAACTTTTTTGTGTGTTTTGATAGTTTTCCACTATTCTTTACAAAAACTTAATGTGCATTTGCACTTCCCACTGGGATTTTCGAGACTTCACAACTGCCATTCCCTGACAGAACACCAATGAGGAATGTTTCATTTTCAGAGTTGCATTGATTCTGGGTCCTTTGTAAAATAACTTAGTAGATATGCAAAAGATATAGGCCTCAAAAACTTAAGAAACCAAGCCATCCAGACAAATGACAGAAGCAAAGGAAAGTTTGGGGTCTCGTGATAAAAAGGGGTATGATTTAGTTAGGCATGTATACAGCACTATCTTGCCATACATACTAAGATGAAGAGAATGTTTCTTGGGGGTTGTTGAGGTCAGAGCCCCCCCCATTAACCCTCCCCTCAGGAAGTACCTAAAGAGCACGTCTTGTCATAGCAGCTTAGATCGTTCAATAAAGTTCTTGAAATAAAATTAGTTTGCTTACTTGGTCAGGAGGTATTGGGTGGTGTGAATTCAAGTAAACATACCAAAAGATGGGTTGGGTTCCTATAGATTTTTTTGAGGGGGGGGGGGCACTATACCTCATTTACATGTTTAAAGATCTATTAGACAGTGATTTACAGGAATCGATCTGAAGAACCTTCTGCTTATGTGCATTTCTGTGTTTCTGGCTGCCAGGTTTGACAGGACGATTCCCGAGCATTCAGTGACAAAGCTGGTGAGAATTTTTTTTTTTTCAGGTGGTGCGTCCATTCTAGGTTATTCTTAAGACTAAATAGTGTCAACAAAGAAGAAATAGATCTTAATAACTGATTAAAACGAACCGTTCCACAATAGACCGACCAAAGGAAGTGAAGGAAAATTGATGATATTTGGTTTATTGTTTACTGTATGGATGTACAGTGAACCCTTGCTATAACGCGGTTCACCTTTCACGTTCTCGCTGCTTCACAGATTTGCACTGTGTATGTTTGTTCTGTTCTGATTGGCTAACAGTCTCTCCACTTCTTCTCTACCTTTCTGTCAATAACATTACATTTTAATGTGTGCACTATAAAACAGCTTGTCAAATTTAAGATTTCAAATTTTCTCTAAAACACATGAAGCCTTCAGTTCGCATTGATGATTAAAATTATTATTTTACAGTACAGTAGTTATTTGTCAAAAATGTTTATACAGTACTTTTATTTGTTAAACAAATGCTTGGGCTTGTAAAAAGTTTTTTTTTCCTTTGGTTTCAATGCATTGTAGAGTATTTCATAGTTTAATAATTGTAAAAAAAAAAAAAAAAAAAAAAAAAAAAAAAAGGTTACTACTTCACAGATTTTGCCTATCACGGGTTCTTTTGGGAACGTAACCCCCATGAAAAACGAGGGTTTACTGTAGCTCTATCTTGCTGTACATACCGAGGTGAAGAGAATGTGTTGGGGAGTGGAGCCCCCATCGACCCTCCTCTCAGGCAGTGCCGGAAGGGTATGCCTAGTCACGGCATAATAAATTTTTAGTTTAGGTTGGATTAGGGGTCAGGACATTTTTCGGGGTTTGGAAGGTGTGAAATCCGGTAGATTTTGTCGAAAGATGAATTTTGGCATATTGGTATAAAGGTATCGGGCATGTCCATAAAGTTTCATTAGCCCATTTTTTGCGTTTTTTGTGCTAGTTTTACGCATTTCTGTTCGCTATTCTTATGTGTTACCCCATAATTTCCCTAATATAATTCATGCCCTCTCCTACTATCAGGACTTAACACATCAAGATCGTCGGCTGTGATAGCTATGGAAATGATCATCAGAATCTTTCTTGTCATGCAAGAATAAATCTGATGATATAAATATTGTCTGGGAAGTACTGATTGTTAAAATAAAAAAATAACCTATACTTTAAAGTTAGCGCATCAGTCTGTGGACTTTCAGAGATGGCGGACACATTTGTTGAGTTTCACTAGTCAATTCTAAGAGTTTTTTGTGCTGGTTTTACACATCACTTATCTATTCTTCTTATTTCAGCTCATTTTACCCCAAAATTTCCTGATAAAATAACCCAATTACTACCTCTATACCTCATGTTAGACCTATATCATTGGCAACAAATTCCTTATATTCTGATATAACAGACCTTGACAAAGGTTCTCATCTAATATGAAATGCCTGGGACGTCTTCAAGCTTTAAATTAATGGAATACTCAATGACAAGCTTTGTTGGGCTTTTCCAGAAGGCACAGATCAAGTTCTGATCATAAGTATCCTTAACATATCACAGCAGGCTCCACAGATCTGACTAGATTACAGGCCATAAAATTCATTAGAAAAAAATAATCAAAATGCATTGGATTTGTAGCCTATACATTTTCCGTTAATATGCAACGTGACAAATTCAAAAATAGCGGTTTTTCTATTTATAAATCAGGTCATCCTTTCTCAATATGTTTAAATCAAATACAGTAGTCCTGTAACAGTTCATACATGTATATGTATAGGCCTATACTAATGCATATTTTTAACTTATGCCTTCAGTTGTTAACTGAGTGAAATCAAATCCACAAAGATTAAAATACTTCATACCCACCCACTCTATAGAGGAATACCAAGATAAATGCAAAAATACACTCAACTTCATGTCCAGTAAAAAAAAAAGGATAAAAAAAAAATAATAATAACAAATAAATAAATTGCTCGGTAAAACTAGAAAACACATGAAACCCTTCCAATATCAAATTCCCTTCCATATAGTACATGTTTCATGGAAAAATAACTATTTAGCCTGAATTAAAATATAAAAACTATAGCACCTACAACAAAAAAAACTTTCTTGTGCAGTGTCTTCTGACCACACAATAGCCAGACAAACAATTTCTTATTAAATCCAGTCCAGTCATTACCTAAAATTACTGCAAGCAACCAACAGAAACCACAGTTCTGGATATTTTCTGCATGTATATATCAATCTCAGCAGTCCTGTAGTCCTGCATTCCCCCCTCACCTAACTGTGTAGTCCTACTCAAACATGCTGCTTCAAAAGTTCAATCTAATGAAAGGTAAACCAAAGCACCACTTGTGTGAGAGCCCCATGAGCCAGCCACAGGAAGCTGCACAAACACTGAGACAAGCAAGAAAGGCCTTGGGAGAACCTCCAACAAACCCTTACAAGGACTCTTCCAAGACTCAACCACTGTAAGGCATCCCACACCTCAGCTAAACTCAGAAACAGGGTTTAGCGCCAAGTTCTGCATGGCAAATGAGGAAAAGGGGAGGAAAAAATAATAACGACAAGGGGGGGAAATTTCCACGTGATGTGTACTTGTCCACTACAGGTTCTCCCTCGACCACGTTGCTGGGACGTCTGCCTTCCAACAGAGAGCCCTTTCTATGTCCTTTGTGCTTTGTAAGGGTCCGTGGCAAATGAACACGTCGCTCTGGGCCGTACAGGTCAAGGGCCATACGAGTGAGCAGGAGGGAGAAGAAGAGGAGAAAAGTTCCGAGGTTTACGCGGGCCGGAGGGCCGTCTCGGTTTCGTCTTCCTCGCACTCGGGGTGCGTCTCTTCTTCCTCGTCTCACTATCTTATACTCCCTTTATTTCCGCCACTGGGTGTACTAGCGAGTGCATGGGTACGTCTGCTGCACCAGTCCACAACATGTGCCGTCAGAAAGGCACACAGCCTCCACACAGTCGAGATTAAACACAAAGAAACATCATCTCAACTTGACACTTCCCACTCCGGAGAGGACACCGGTAACTTGTTATGCTTCTTTTCCGTTAATTAAGTCATTTTTTTCCTTAATTCCTTCACCAACGCGTGCTCTGACCTATTAACTATGTCCTGCACATACAAAAGACACCACTACTTACGTACTTTGCGAGCGAATAAGGATTTGGCTAAAGAGATGACGTATTTGGCTGTGGTAATATGGCTGTTGTGGTGGTGCGTAATGGCGAGCGCGCAGCCTCGCCTCTCGCTCCCAAAGGCGCGCCATGCGGTCTCGGGCGGACGCGCTCGCACCTTTGGGGCCGAGATGCACCCGGGCGGCGCGCCTTTTGAATCCGTGAAACAGGTAGTCCATGTTATGCCTCACTCGCTCCATATTATGGCATGCAATTTCTTTATCCTGGAAGGTGTGTGTGTGAGATACTAAGGGAGGGAGGAGGATTTATTAATTCAACTATCTCGCCTTCTCCTTCTAGTGAAAGTGAGGGAGGAACGGGATTTCACTGATTCTCGTTGCATCCACCTCCTCATCTTTTCTTCTGGTTTTCTTTTTATATATATATAACCCGTGGTGATAGATACTTTTGGGGAGGAAGATTAAGTAGGTTTCTTCTCTCCTTTTTTCTTTAACTTAAGCTGTGCATTGAAGGGATGGGCTTTTTATAAGGTCAACCGCCATATGTTATTGCTATTTTTTCATTATCATTATTATCATTTTCATTATCATCATCAGCATCATAATCATTATTATTATTATTATTATTATTATTATTGCTGTTGTGTTGTTATTATTGGTCATTATCATTGTCATTATCATTATCATCATCGTCATCATCACTGTCATTGTCATTACCGTTATTATTATTATCATTGTTATTGTTATTATTAGTAGCGGTAGTATTATTATTATCATCATTGTTATTGTTATTATTATCTTTATTATTATCATTATTATCATCATAATAATTATTATTATCATTGTTATTTATCATTATCATCATTAATATTATTA